CATTTGAATATTTTAGTGATAAAGCAGTGTTATAGGATGATATAGGAAATACTAAGCGAAGAGGAGCCGAGCGTCCCAGAGCTGCAGCTTTATTGGTTTATTTCAGACAGAGCAATTATTTTCAGCCAACGACACCTTTCATAAGTCTGTCTACAAGCTTCGGCTTATGAAATATGAAAAATAAGCCTACTTGCCAGAGGAATTACTGCTGCTGTGTATCTTTGTGAAACTGCTGTTTTTATCTTTTTTATCATATTATTTTTAGCAGTCGAAATACAGGGGCTTTTTTAAACGTTTGCAGTCTCAATACAGATGAAACTCTGTTTTTAGCATATGTGATGAGCTGTGGTTAATTACCACAAATGATTTCAGTTCATCCTTTGGTTCATGAAAACAAGCACAAATTACGTGCACAATGATGCAAAGTCTAAGCAAGACATTGCACCTGCATATAAACATTACAATTACACACATAGTTTTATTTATTTATATACTATATACAAACTGCATTTTATTTATCCAAAAAATACAAACTGTTTTATTTTGTTTTAATATTTTATTTTTTTTATCTGAAGACCTAGTATGTAAAATCACTCACTAATGCTCAAATTTACAACTCATATAACGCACATTTTTATACATATTATAATTAATAGAAGTATTTGAACAAATATACAAGCTGCGTTTAATTTTTATTTAATTTTATGTATATAGTGTACAAATATACAAGCTGCATTTATTTTTTTCTTTCATTTTTTTACAGATACAGATATACAAGCTGCATTATTTTCTTGAATTTACTTTTTCATGCTTTTACAAACTGAAGAACTAGTAAAAAATTAAAATGTGCCAATGAACAGCACGGCACCCAAATATATAAATTCATACCTTAAAATATAGAAATTAGGAACTTATATACAATATAACAAAATGTATTGTAAAAATGAATTACAAACTTAACAGCTTATATATGAATGTATTAAATTTAACAGTGACTTTACTATAAATTCAAGGGGGAAGGTAAATCTATATATTTATGCAGTTTGATCCAAATTTGAGCCTGAAAGGCTAAATGGCTTCCATTGTTTTATTGTGATGAGACCTGTGTTCAATAACATCACTAGATGCATCTCTTTGTGGTGTCATCACAGGTCTACATACATTGAGTACACTGAATTGACGCTGAATTATTTCTATGCATCCTACTGAGTTGTGATTGCAAAGTTCGCTGGTAGATTTCCAGAGCTACAGAAACAAAACTAAGAAAACGTCTTCTTTCCCCACTCCCCTCCATCCATACCCATGATTTTTTCCTTCTTTTTATCCAACTTGCATTCTTCATTATTGATGTTCTGTTTTATTCACATCCCCTTGTTTATTTCACTCCCATACTTACTTCCATTGTTATTAATGGGTGTCACTGACATGAATTCATCTCAACCCTCATCTGATTTCCTCGTATCCCTCCCACCCCTCCAAATCTCCCGTTTCCTCTCTTTCAGAGCACATGCGACACACTCCGGAGTCACTCGGACAGTCTCGGATTCGCGCCGAACGTGCTACCTAGTCACCCGGCTATAGGTAACTTCGAGGAATTCGCTTGTTGATGACGCAGGCGATGGGACGGTTTAGGATACGACGGAAAACTGTGAAATATATATCGGACAGACTCCGAAAGAAGTGTAAGTCCACGAAAATGTACATGTTAAATAGTAAAAAAAAAAAAAAAAACACCTGAATAGAATCTATATATCATCATCAAGTACAAATAGTAGGGATGCACCGATACCACTTTTTCCAGTACTCGCCCGATACCGATACTTTTATTTTTGGTACTTGCCGATACCGAGTACCGATACTGATATTTTTATTGCATTTGTACATTTTTTAAATATTGGGTACAGAAACCAAAAGGGTATGTATAATGTTAGTTGGTTAACTTCATTTATCAAATAGATAGTCAAACCTACATTTATTCAGACACCAACATTTCTCACATAATCACAGTTTATTTGCTATAGTTTAGAAAATGGTAATAAAATATGACAAGAACTCAGAGTTAAACTGTGTCAGAACAAATTCATCTTGATAATGTTAGATAATTTTGATAGAAAGGTATGTAATAGATTGCAATCAACCAAAAATTATTCAGACAGCTGTTAGTATGACAGCATTTACACAACTATCAATACTTAGTCGGGCAACCCTTAGCCTTAATGACAGCATATAGTCTCCTGGGCATGCTGTCACCCAGCTTCATGAAAACCTCAACTTCAGTTTTTTTCC